ACCATTATTTTTTGAGCCAATTTGTTATTTAGCTGCAAGGCATCCTCAGGGGTTAGTTTCACTTCAAGGTTTGAAGAGTATGTCAGGGCAATAGAGTAGGGGAGTCCTCCAGTCTCAACCAGTCCAGATCTGTTGTTTTTTTTTTTTTTAAGGAATTCGGGGTTCCCACATTTTTCACCCATTCTATCTGGGTCCATTTATTGTGGCCCTGATTAGAACAGTCAGTAGTGGTAGGTGGGCACCATCTAGTTCTTCTGGTCTCAGGGTAAATGAGTCTGTGGTTCCTGTAGACTATTTGTCCTGTAGACTAGTTTCTTCTTTGGGTTTTTGGTTTCCTTCTTTTTCTTTTGCTCCGGGCGAGTGGAGACTAATAGTTGTATCTTAGATGGATGCTTGCAAGCATTTAACACCCCAGACACTACTCCCCAAACTAGGAAGTAGAATATAACTTTATGAACTCTATTATGCCAATTGAGTGAGATGTCCCATGAGACTGTGGTCCTAATGCTTCAAACCTAAATATTCAGTCTCCTGAGGTATTCGATTATGTCAAAGAAGTATCTGTAATCGTGCCCTGTATGTGCTTTATTATATACAGTCATGCGTTATCGCTTAACGTCCACGATACATTCTATAAAATACGACGTTACGTGATTTCGACATTGTGCAAATACCATGTTATGTGCAGGCAGTCCCCGGGTTATGAACATCTGACTTATGGACAACTCGTACTTAAGAACGGACTGCCGTAAAGCCTATTATATTGAAAATTTGAGTTAAATACATACAATGGCTCATGAAAGTATTATGCTGTTTTTTAAATGTTTTATATGCATTGAAAGGTAAAATGTATACTATATGCTAAGACAAACATTTGACTAGCTCATGCTAAGTAAGAACTGTATGTGCCTGTTCAGATTTACCTACAAATTCCACTTAAAGACAGACTTAGGAATGGATCTCATTCGTAACCTGGGGACTGCCTTTATGATCTTATGGGACCATGGATGTATATGCGGTCAGACGTTGAGACGTGCGGCATATGACTGTGTGTGTGCATACAGTCACATGGGTAAACAGACATGTGCATACACCTGTATATACACACGTATATATATACTGTTAAACATATGTGCCTACATATATATCTGCACATGTATTTTTGACTGTTTTTACTGTTGTTTCAAAATTATATATGCCATAACAATTACTAACAGGTCCTTTCTTCTTGTGTACTTCTTGATAACATTGTTTAGCTTTGTCAAGCTGTGTACACTTCACCCTCATTCATTGTTACCTTTCCCATCACCAAAAATAACAAGTGTCTACTATCTAGAGAGTGAACCCCTTTCCCCCCATCCCTGATAACTACCAACGAACACATTTTTACGCAAATAACGCATGCCTTCTATGTTTGTTTGCCAACTGCACCCTCACCCTGCAAGGTATTTTCGTAAGTATGCTATACTGATTTTTTTTTTTTTACAGCAACATGTAAAAAAAAAATTAGCTAGCAGCACTTACGAAAATACCTCACAGGGTGGGGGTGTGGTTGGCGCACAAATGTAGAAAGCAGGTGTTACTTGCATAAAAATACAGTAGTTTCTGTATATTTACTTGTTC